AAACTTAGAATTTACTCTTCCAAATATCGAATTTACTCTTCAAATCTTGGAATTTACTCTTCAAACTTAGAATTTTCTCTTCAAATATTAGATTTACTCTTCGAAACATAGAATTTACTCTTCAAAACTTAGAATTTACTCTTCAAAATATCGAATTTACTCTTCAGATCTTGGAATTTACTCTTCAAACTTAGAATTTTCTCTTCAAAACTTAGAATTTACTCTTCAAAATATCGAATTTGCTCTTCAAAACTTGGAATTTACTTTTCAAAATATCGAATTTACTCTTCAAATCTGGGAATTTACTTTTTCAAACTTAGTATTTTCTCTTCAAATATTAGAATTTACTCTTCGAAACATAGAATTTACTCTTCAAAACTTAGAATTTACTCTTCAAAATATCGAATTTACTCTTCAAATCTTGGAATTTACTCTTCAAACTTAGAATTTTCTCTTCAAAACTTAAATTTACTCTTCAAAATATCGAATTTACTCTTCAAATCTTGGAATTTACTCTTCAAACTTAGAATCTTCTCTTCAAATATTAGAATTTACTCTTCAAACTTAGAATTTTCTCTTCAAAACTTAGAATTTACTCTTCAAAATATCGAATTTACTCTTCAAAACTTGGAATTTACTCTTCAAACTTACAATTTTCTCTTCAATTAGAATTTACTCTTCGAAACATAGAATTTACTCTTCAAAACTTAGAATTTACTCTTAAACTTACAATTTTCTCTTCAATTATTAGAATTTACTCTTCGAAACATAGAATTTACCCTTCAAAACTTAGAATTTACTCTATAAAATATCGAATTCACTCTTCAAATCTTGGAATTTACTCTTCAAACTTACATTTTTCTCTTCAAAACTTAGAATTTACTCTTCAAAATATCGAATTTACCCTTCAAAACTTGGAATTTACTCTTAAAAATATCGAATTTACTCTTCAAATCTTGGAATTTACTCTTCAAACTTAGAATTTTCTCTTCAAATATTAGAATTTACTCTTCGAAACATAGAATTTACTCTTCAAAACTTAGAATTTACTCTTCAAAATACTTCGAATTTTCTCTTCAAATCTTGGGATTTACTCTTCAAACTTAGAATTTTCTCTTCAAACTTAGAATTTACTCTTCAAAATATCGAATTTACTCTTCAAATCTTGGAATTTACTCTTCAAACTTAGAATTTTCTCTTCAATTATTAGAATTTACTCTTCGAAACATATAATTTACTCTTCAAAACTTAGAATTTACTCTTCAAAATATCGAATTTACTCTTCAAATCTTGGAATTTACTCTTCAACCTTAGAATTTTCTCTTCAAATCTTAGAATTTACTCTTCGAAATATCGAATTTACTCTTCAAAACTTGGAATTTACTCTTCAAACTTCGAATTTTCTCTTCAAATCTTGGAATTTACTCTTCAAACTTAGAATTTTCTCTTCAAACCTTGGAATTTACTCTTCAAAATATCGAATTTACTCTTCAAATCTTGGAATTTACTCTTCAAACTTAGAATTTTCTCTTCAAATATTAGAATTTACTCTTCGAAACATAGAATTTACTCTTCAAATCTTCGAATTTACTCTTCAAGCTTAGAATTTTCTCTTCAAAACTTAGAATTTACTCTTCAAAATATCGAATTTACTCTTCAAAACTTGGAATTTACTCTTCAAACTTACAATTTTCTCTTCAATTATTAGAATTTACTCTTCGAAACATAGAATTTACTCTTCAAAACTTAGAATTTACTCTATAAAATATCGAATTTACTCTTCAAATCTTGGAATTTACTCTTCAAACTTACATTTTTCTCTTCAAAACTTAGAATTTACTTTTCAAAATATCGAATTTACCCTTCAAAACTTGGAATTTACTCTTAAAAATATCGAATTTACTCTTCAAATCTTGGAATTTACTCTTCAAACTTAGAATTTTCTCTTCAAATATTAGAATTTACTCTTCGAAACATAGAATTTACTCTCTTCAAAACTTAGAATTTACTCTTCAAAATATCGAATTTACTCTTCAAAACTTGGAATTTACTCTTCAAACTTAGAATTTTCTCTTCAAAACTTAGAATTTACCTTCAAAACTTCTTGGAATTTACTCTTCAAACTTAGAATTTTCTCTTCAAAACTTAGAATTTACTCTTCAAAATATCGAATTTACTCTTCAAAACTTGGAATTTACTCTTCAATTCTTACAATTTTCTCTTCAATTCACAGGGCGAAATTACAGAATTAATACCAAGTTAATTGTCTTACAATTTTCTCTTCAATTCACAGGGCGAAATTACAGAATTAATACCAAGTTAATTGTAGTTAAATTAAGGTTAATGGTTGCTTTACCTTGCTTTATCTAAACTCGGTAAAGGTTTGAAAGATTCCTTTGCACTCCTTTACACTTTGTTATTAAACATGTGTAATGACGGCTTTACATCATTGCAGTAAACGCGGCATAAATCTCAGTAATGGCACCTTTAAACGTTTTGGATAAATGTTAATAAATTGTAGAAATGCTATGTTAAAGTTTGCTTTATAGGCTTTAACCTTCGGTTTAAAGTTCATATAGATTGATGTACATTTAAGCAATATGGGTTAAATTAGCTGAAAGACGTCTATACTCGTATTTACACTACTATTTATTTGCATTTAAATATAGACCCACCTATACACGCACTTCTTTCTTCTCTTGACAAATCGACGCAAAGCTGTGTTAAAGTTCCGTTTAACTGGTTTTATCCTTCGGTTAGTAATGGTACCTTTCAACCTTTTCAACAAATGTTGGTAAATTGTGCAGTAAAGTTGCGTAAAGTTTGCTTTATGGGCTATTAACCGTTGCTTTAAAGTTCACATATAGGTCGATGTACAGGAATTTAAAAAATGGGTTAAGTCAGTTTAAAGACGCCTTTACTCAGATTTACACTGCTGTTTATTTGGGTTTAAATACAAACAACACACAATTATATATACTTGTTGGATATTTGTTGATAAATTGATACAAAGCTGTGTTAAAGTTCTATTTTAACTCTTTTTAACCCTCGGTTATAATTAGTGGTTACGTTGAACCTTGGAATAAACGCTGATAAAGTGTTGTAAAGTTACGTTAAAGTTTCCTTTATCTTAGTTTAAAGCTCACATAGATTGACGCACATTTATAAGCAAAATGGCTTACGGGTTAATTGTCTTTGAAATATATTTACTCAGATTATTCACAGCTACTTATTTAGGTTTAAATAGAACGCAATATACTTCTTGGATGTTTGTCCTTGACCATGTAAAGTGAAATGCTGTAAAGTGAAATTTATACTCGCGCTGCGGGTATAAACCATGTATATATATACAATGTAGGTTATTAAACCTGTGTTACTTAGCTTTGCACGAACGGTTTATTGGGGTGTATACATTATTATACAAACCTCTTAAATAACTAGAATAGATTACCTGAATGTGGGGAAATAGTAAAATTACTTCGAGTGTCGCGGGGGATAAATTTACAGGTGTCCATGCATGCATGCATGCAAGCAAGCAGTTATTGTTCTTTTTTATACTTTATAACAACACAAAACAGTCTTACTGACCCACAACAAACATACCAGTCAACTCTATAGTCAGTAAATTTTTATTAAGAAAAGTATTTTTATACATCGCGTGGTAATTTAAACTAACTGTATCCACAAAACAATGTACATTAGAAGTAAGGTTCAACATGTATCCAAAGTCCCAAACAAACTGAAACTAAGTATTTAAAACGTGTACGACAATAAAAACACGAGTATAGCGTGCAAAAATAGCTTATGAATTCCAAATATATATAACACAAACAATATATTGTCATGCATATGTTTGCAATAAAACCAATCCGGCATTTGGCATCTTTAATATTGAGGCAGCGTTTACACTGTACCGTTTTCGTAGCGTTCTCGTATTGTTCGAGAGAACTAGACTATTGTCTTGCGTTCCCTTGAGGATTAAGAACAATACGAGACCGCTACGAAAACGGTACAGTGTAAACGCTGCCTGAGTTTGTGGTTTGGAGACTCGATGAATGTCATTATCTAGGACTATAAGTGATTTAAGGTTTAATATGCAAAAATTTGTTCATAACCTCTGCACACGAGAATAGCAATGTTTAATCTGGCCACTCCGATCTAGCCAATTATATAGATACTGTACTTCCATCAAGTTTCCAAACCATTTATTATACTGTATTAACGATGAATGATTCACACTTTAAGCCGGTTTTCCACTAGGTGGAATTTTGCGCGCGGAGCGGAATTTTTCTTTATCTTTTCTAATTAGTTCCACCCGAGAAATCACAAGACAAAGAAAAACTCTGCTCCGCGCGGAAAATTCCGCCTAGTGGAAAACCGGTTTTAACATGATGTACAGTGTGTCAAAAAAGTACCCTTATAACAATAGGATACTTTCTATAGATGGTACTTTTGGGGGGACACACTGTATATAGCAGAACCCACACACTGCAGTGCATGAATACACGTTATGCACATGTCTATTCTGAAGCATACGGTATGCATGCGTAGTAGAGCTCAACTGCATGCATGTGAGTTCATTGTACGGCGATAATCGCGTTTGAAATACTGTAAAACCTACAATAGTGTTCAGTTCCCAGTGTTTTTAGTTTCTCTCTCACACGCTGGATGGAGAATAACCTCCCTCAGGAGATGACGAGCTACTCGACCTGGCGCTCAATGGCGTACTTGTCTGCCGAGCTGACAAAGGACTTGGCGAAGCCGAAGGACTACAATTTAGCGATAACTGTGTGGACGTGCACGCCCATTCCGGGCAGTTATCTGGCTTCCCCCTTGCTGAAGGAACCCCAATATTCCTTGGCAGCGTCCTCTTTCTTATCAGCTCAGGGACGCTTTCGCTGTGCTTCTTGTCTAGTCTTTTCTTTACTTGTTTTAATTTATTGCTTTGCCAACAAAGGGGCCTCACAATGTATCGCGTAACTCTGTTAGGAGGCTCAGGATCGTGATCACTGTCCTCACTGGACATGTAGTCCACAGTCATCACCTCCGCAACTTTCGCCTTTTTTTCCACGCTCCACTCCTTATTGGTCAGACTTCCTAGGCGTTTTCCCAATTTCTGCAAATTATTAAATTAACAAATATATAAAAAATAAACTTTTGGAAATCAACCTACACATTACAGTGAACTTGTGGATAACAGGAAACAACCCCTCCAGTATTAACAATCAAACCATTATTAACATCCCTCCGGATTAATAATATTAAGATTTATTATTAATAATGATACAACTGCACGTAAACGTGCAGTGGCGATTATAACCGTCAGTAAACGGCTTAAACCTTACCACACTGCAAAATCGAATTCGTTGAGATATATTGTACAGTAACCAAATAATTTGGTTGTCAGATTTATCATTTTACCAGTCGAACAATTATGGTTATTTTAACAACTTCCCCCCGATGTTTTTACAAAATAATATTGATTATAAACAGAAAATGAATCTGAGATATCCATTAAAATTTGTTGTCTTAACCATACCGTTTTTACAGTGAAGGAACCGAGCCATAATAAGTGTGCATTTAAGTTGCAATCTTAAATTGCTTTTCTTACACTTCAGCCCACATTGACTTGCTATACGCTCAGGTTCGCTTCATGATGCCCCGCATCTCCCTAGTGTTTATTAGCACTGCCTATCTTCTCTACTGTAATCGTACATATAAGCATACAGTATCTTTTAATCCCTGCGTATAAAACAATATACGTGTAGTTAAAAGTTTGCGGAACAATTTTTGTTATGATGACACAAACAACGTCCGAGCAATCCTGGGAACAATCCCAAGCAAATCGTCATAATCTACAGTATACTTTGTACAGGGTGTCTAAAAAAACGCTATGGAAATTCAAAAGGCCATCGTGCATCATAAACGTGGCTAAACAATTCTATTTTTACGCAGGAAGACAGTTATTTAGCTTTTCAATGATACTCTTTTTAAATCGTAACGATGAGAAATGGCCACATACTCGTCAAATACAAATTGCCGGTCGAAACACATTCTCCCACCGATGGGAATTGCATGGGAAACGAAACATAGACAATCTCCAAGAGGGAATATAATTGAATGTTAAATTATCTAAAATGAGCTCAACATGTCAATCTTTGTCTTATAAGTGACACAATAACTCAATATACAGTATAAGACAATTACTCAATAAGGGTGTCCCAAAAAAAAGTGACACTATAGAAATTATCTCATTGTTCTTAAGCCGCTCTTAAACGCGCGTGATTACACGGCTGGGAATTTAATGAACTTGTATTTACATTTAAGCATTTTAAAACGTTTACATTAATAAACGGTTTGCTTTTTTATTTTAAATTCCAGAAGCAGAAGTTTATGCACCTGTGGGATCAACTTAGTGCTAGGGCATTCAAATTATAACAATAGGATAATTTCTATAGTGTCACTTTTTTGGGGGACACCCTGTACATGGTTCAAGTAACCCCTGAAAAGAGAACTCGGCACTCGTAATCAAAACGTTTTATGAAACAAATAGCTTGCAGCAGGCTCGCGATGCTTTTGGATTGACTAACTTTGCATAATTCAGGTATTTTCAATTCCCAACGGTGGAAGAATGTGATTTCGACCGACAATTTTCATTTGACGATATATATATATATATATATATATATATATATATATATATATATATATATATATATATATATATATATATATATATATATATATATATATATATATATATATATATATATATATATATATATATATATATATATATATATATAGGATCAGGGATGTTACACTGTGTAACTTGTCTGTCTTGCAATCAGCGATGAAGGCAAATAGCGAATTTTTATTGGCTGAACAACAAAACCATTGCGAGACAAGTTGCGAGGCATGTTTAAGCCCCGTTTACACGAGCAAATTGTATTTGACAAATTTCATATGACAAATGCATTTGATCGAAAGCTAGCATGCTAGCTTTTGTTCAAATGGATTTGTCACAATAAATTTGTCACAAATGCATCATCCACACGAGCAAAATGTCTTTGACATATGAAATTTGTCAAATAAAATTTGCTCATGTAAATGGGGCTTAAGGCGGATTTCCAGTCCTCGCGCGAAGCTCCTCGCTGCGAGTGCATGCATAAGCACTTTCATCCAATCACAATGCTAAACTGCGAGGAGCTTCGTGAAAAGACTGGAAATCCGCATTTACACTACGCAATTTGTGTCGCAGCAAAACTGAGAGGCAAGTACGTTGCGAGACATGTTGAATATAGTGTAACAGCACCTCAATTCTATGACTACGAATTTAACTGATATAGTACTCACATCTCTTTTTCTAGCTTGCCTTCTACATTTAGCCAAATGTACAGCATTTGTTCCATTTTGCGTCCTTTTTAGTTGGACCTTGCGAGACTTGAGATAGGTCTTAAAGGCCCCTAAATGTAGAATTTTAATTTTACGGTCTACGGTCATTATTTTACGATGATAGTCTACTAGCAGCGAAGGACGCGTGAATCATGCAAATGACTATTTTGAAGTATTAAAAGCCACCTTTAGAGAAAAAAAACTTTTTAAGAAGTTTATTAAATCTATGCATTTAAATATAATTTTCGGTTCAAAAAATCAGTTTCTTATTTTAGATGTAAATCAGAATAAAACTTTAGTTTTGCTACAGTATATAGTTTTTCGCCTCGCCCTATTCGCTCATAGGCAACTCAGCCTAGTTGTCTATAAATTGTTAAGTATAAGGTACACTATGGACTGTGGTCATGTTGTAGCGTTTTGTGCCGCTGTATAAACATTTCTGCACCTTTATATATAATAATGAAGGTTTGTAGCTAGTGTTGTAGTATGAGGTACACTATGGACTGTGGTCATGTTGTAGCGTTTTGTGCCGCTGTATAAACATGTCTGCACCTTTATATATAATAATGAAGGTTTGTAGCTAGTGTTGTAGCGTTTCGTACAAATACGGATTCAACGACACATGTACTGTACAAGTACGGCACGGTTGTGCACACCTTTTCACACAGCGCAACAAAATGCTACAACAATACAAGTGCAGTACAAATTATATAAATACTTGTGGTTCCTGTTCCGGTTTCATAACGTGAAAAAATTAGGGTCGGTAGGTCTGAAATAATTTTTTAAAATATATTTTTTCATGGTTTTGGCGTGTTTTTTTTTGCTGGGCGATTTGCAGTAGAGTCCCGACATTAATATTAACTACAGATCTATGCTTATTTCTTATGGACAAATTTTGGCATGCTGTATGAGAAGCCTGCAACCACCCGGAGAAAATAGGGTCACACAGTCAATCGCATTGAAAAAATATTAGGGTCGGTAGAAAAAAATAGGGTCGGTCGGGAACCACAGGTATTTTTTAGGCCCTATGGGGAAGCACAGGTGGCTGAGCGTGCTAAGGTACTGTCTCTTACCACTAAGTTAAGCCTGCTACGTAACAGGTCTTCAGGAACAAGTGAGCATGGAAATGTGGCTACCTCTGGATGCTTTGATCATTGGGCTTTATCAACTCATGTACCAGTAAGTAGAGTTTGGCTGGTTCTCTCCTGTGTTTTAAGGGTTTTCTTAAGGTACTCTGGGTTTCCTCCCTCACTAAGAGCTAACTTACTGTATGCGTTTCGGACTAAGCCTCGGGAACCTTTGTAATTGGGTTGTAAGTAAAACATGTACTGTAAAAGCCTTCCATCCACCATAGAGTGGTAAACATGAATAAATAAATAAAAATAGTGATAATCAGTTAGAGAACACACAAATACCTTTTAAATTCAACAGAGTCCATGGACATTTATCATCACCCCCATATTCATGCCTGAGTTCATTTGAAACTTCATGAAACACCTTTAAATTGTGCTCCGATTCAAGGCTGTAGATAAAAATTTGGCAAATAGTATTAAGATCCCAAAAGTTAGATCCATAATCTGTGCTAAAAACATTATAGATCAGTATATGTTTATGTACTGTACACATGCATAGAATTCAGTTGCCAGACATATTGCAGCTATCCTACATTTTCTACCACTTTAGTCTTTAGCTGCAATTTTGTCGATTTTTTGACAATACACGTACATGACCTACTGTATTTGTTACTGTATCTAATCGATGCCCTACTTGTTGGCCACTATGCCCTCGAAATATACTGAAATCCACGGCCAGTAGTGGCCTGCCCTCACCTAAAGTGCAGCACTGTACAGTTAATGCTTTAAAATACCAAGTGTATGATTTGTAAAATTGGCAATAATCAACTTATGTACTGTACAATCTTATTAGTTATAGTTCAATAGGTAGTTATGATACATGTAAATATGATATGAATAGTTTCATTTGGCCTTTTTTTTAATTGTTTATTTTTAATTATTAATCTGTATATTTCTCCTGTTTCATGGAAACTCAACATTATTTGAAACTTCAAAATGGCAACTGAATAGAATTTTCAAACTGGCCTTGATCAATGATGCCTTAAGGTGGCCTTGACCAATGATGCCGTAACATGAAGGCCAAACTAGCCTTGATTTTATTTTCCCCAAATTCGAGGCCTGTACCTGTACCTGTACCTGTACCTGTACCTGTACCTGTACCTGTACCTGTACCTGTACTATACAGTATATGTTTCCTGTCCCCCTGCCACTAACTTCATGACAAATATGGGCCTAATTGCTCAAAATTGTCGAAGAAAGTATTTTTTTATTTTTCGGGTACAGTACTTGGATAATTAACCTGCTATTATCTCGCAACC